TTTATCAAAGCTTTTTAAAACTAATATTTTCTCATGATTATGCATATTTAACTGAGAACTTTGATGAGATAATATTCTCTAGACTGTAAAGCTTTTGAAGATCGCAATTCATGAAACATTATAATAAAAAGCATAAAAATATTTCTTAAAATTCGAATATCAATAATACTATAGATTTTAGATAAAATTATGAAGGTGAAGAGGAAAATACTATACCTTTTTGAAGAGTAAAGAGATGATTTAAGTAAGAATAATTTTATCTTAAAATAGTGTTTTGGTTCTATTAATTTATTAGTTTGTTAATTTCGTCACCTTTCATCTGGTTTCGTTAGTTTTGCCATTTCGTCTTTTTAAAAAATTTTTGACGAAAGATGAAACATAGTTGCGTTTTTCGTAATGACGAAACCTATAAGGTTCGTCTAACAACACTATTTGTCGCTGAAGTGATTGTCGGTGAAATAATATGGGTCCATTAAACTAAGCTTATATCTGTTCGTATATTAATGGATTAAATTTTTATAAATACGGTAACTATGCGGTTTTCTTAATTTCAATGCTTAAGATCACTTCCAATTAGTCTGCAGGATTAAAAATAGTATAAACATTGAAAGTGAAAAGAACATTATCAAGATGGCTTTTATGAAAATTGTAAAAGCGTAGATAAAGAAAAGTTGGAAGCTTTATTATTACCTAATCAACAAAAAAAAAATAAAAATGCCAATGAATGTTATGCTAGGAACTTGGTATACAGCAAGAAACTTTTGGAGTTGCTTTTTTTTAGGCAATTATCTGATGATTACAATAATTTTAAATTAAAATATTGACAAGTATATTAACAGGTTCCAACATCAGGTTTCGAGGTTTCCAACCTAAGAACTTTATCCTATTTGAAAATTTTAATTGGAAAATACCTATCCGTTATTATTCAATATTCATTTTGGGATCTTAACTAAATCGCAAATTACGGTGTTGTTTCATGGATTCTCATAGAAACCTAAATTCCATACTATTAATCTCTGCTCTCTTTTCTAACGCCAACACACTGCTCATTTTTATGGTCGACGACTTTACACATTTAGGAACATCACACCTTGTTATAAATTGATCCATTCCAACACTAAGGATGTTACTGGCTCGAAACTCAAGTCAGTCATAAAATTGTTTGAACCAATGTTCTAAATTCAGAAAAAATTTTATTTGCATAAAAGGTATAAAAATTTAGATATGAAAATTTATATATCAGAATTATTTTTATATGCATGCACTGTGCAAACAAGCACTGGTTTGAACAATGAACCGCAAATACAATTTCTATATTAAACCTTACATCCCTCTATTGGCTTGCTAAACTGGGTAAAAATCATGCTCTGTGTTATCATTTAAATATTGATTACATAGATGCTTATCTAAAAATGGCGTTTAATTTATGCCAGATTAATTGAGATATATTCAATACGTAATCAGCATCTTCATAGAAGTCACATGTATCTTACATTTATCTCGACCATCTTCCGTATGATTCTGCAAAATGAAGATCTCAATTCACATGTATCACTTAATTGCGCGATCAAAAGGTAATAATGATACTAAAGATACAGCGATCGAATGTACAGTCACATGACTTCAGACCTTACATTTCTAAATTTTATTAAAAAATTTTTTTTTTTCAACTGTAGGAAATTTTTTTGGGGAATGGTGTAATACAAACTTTTTCTTTGGGGAAGGGTGTAAGACAAACTTTTTTCCTTGGGGAATGGTGTAAGACAAATTTTTGTGAACCTTGAATATTAATGAGTGCGCTTGTAAACTCTCGAATTTCCACATGAAAGATTACTGAAAAAAACCATTTTATATAAAATTTTTATAAATACTGTAATTTTGTAGCATGCATATGGCTGAATATGCGTCATGATGATTGGTTTGCTTTTTATTAATATGCAATCCAGTGTTATTCTTTACACAAAGCATATTATTTTTTAAGGTTTTTTTCTGCAAACTCTTTTGCATGTCGTTTGAGCATGCCCCAATAATACTTATCTACGATAGCCAAATTGTTAAGATCCCTGCTGATCTCTTCCATCGTACATTCAACGCACTTTCCAATTGCGCATTGTCTACATTTTAAAACACTTCCACCTATCAAATCGCACCAGCTACATTCATCTCCCTCACTTGATTCTCCGGGACTTTCCAATTCTACTAAGTCAGTGGTTATAAAATCATCATCCACTTCCTCTCTTATAGTCTCATCACTACTATCACTTTCTTTTCTAGCCATTTCTTTATGTTTCATTTTCCTTTCGGTTTCAACTGCTTCCATACTTTCCATGCGTTCAACCCTATCAATTGCCGCTTTTACATCGTCCTTATTGATAGGTGTATTTGTTCTTGATTTTCTTTTAGATCTAAGACTTTTACACAAATTCACTTGGTAATCTAAATTATCAATCAATATCGAAAGCTTTTCATGTTTCGAGAATCTATTTAAAAATCTAATGATTAAATGTAATGCATCCTTTGGATATTCTGTAATTTTATCAATTAGTTCTTCATTAAACTCTAATTCTCTCATTTTACGTTTAAGTTTTAATATTCTGATTTCATATTTCGCATTTTGATCTGCGTAAACACTCTTTTTAACAGAGTTGTAAGTGTTTGTAATAGTTTCAATATCTTGGCCAATAACATCTTGGCAAAAGTTGTAAAAACTTTCGTACCCCGCATGTTGCCAAATTTTAGTCTCTCGAACTTCATCTAAAAGATTAGAAATCTCTTCAAGATTTTTAGTGACGTCGCTGAATAAATACTCTTTGAGTAATTTTTTGATTATTTGAAATCGTTTTAGAGGCAATTCAATCGGAGAAATTGATGTGGTAATGTTTGAAGTTTGATCGCCCATTTTTTTAAAACTAAAGTTGAAATTAACGGTCACAGAAAATTAATTAATAAAAATGGATTTGTTTTTTCGAAAAAATATTCATCGATTATATATATTGATAGACAAAAATTTTTTTAATTGATCCTTAACACGTGCGTACCAATTAATCTATAAATTAATCTCCAATTCGGGAATATAATACTTTGAAGTTGAAAAAATTAACTAGTAATCTGATTCTGGACCCAATCCTTATAAATATATTAAAAATAATAACGATAATACTTGAACGTGAATATATTTATTTCCTTGGCTGATTAGTGATGTTATTTCTATGCCATAAAAAAAATATATATTTTTGATCACAGTTCTATACTCCGATTTTCCTTTCAACTACGTATTATAATTTTTTTGATGTAATTTATCACCTGCTACATGGATCAATCAAATCATAAGGCCAATTCGCAATGCGATAACTCATGTATGTTCTTTTTTTTTATTTGTTTTTTTTATTATGTAATTAGCCTGCCGTTCTTATAATAAATAAATTTATGATAATTTTCCGTATATACAATAATTATCCAGATTAAATTCTTGTTCACTTTAAAAAGTTTATTAATTAGCAGTTCGAGTGGTATCAATTTTGATTTTGATTATATTTCTAAAATCCAATTTTCCTTAGTAACTTTATATAGCCTCAATGTAAAAAAATATCTGCCTGCTTTAACCGCTAAAAAATATAATAACCTGACAGCCCTTTGACAAGTTGCTTTAATATCCTTTGTCTATAATGCATACAAGTTTTATGATAAAATCTTTTATTTTTACAGACATTATTCTAACTATTGTTTTCATTCGTTTTTTATTTTTCCTTTCCTTTTTTTTTTTTTAATATCTAATTTTCTTTGATCTTTGCTTTCTCGTTTCCTTTGAATAATTTGTAGTTCACAATAAACTGGATTAAGAAAAAAAAACTAGTTAATAAACCCAAAAAAAAACGATAGTAAATGAAGACTAATATCATTTATTATCACTAATGAGTTAATCATTAAAAATACCAATAATTAAAATTTAAATTCGAATTTAAATTTAGAAGTTCTATATATAAATCCGAATTTTTTCAAATTCAAATCCAACTTATACCTTTAATCATTTCACTTCAATTTACATAGTGCGTTGCTATCAGTATTGTTATTTTGAATCTTAAACCATTGTTCCAGCTGATGCTGATGTTGAAAATTGGATCTCAATTTGACAATATAATTCCTATAAAAATCCACATATAATCTTTTGCTATAAGCTCTAACCCTAAATTAAAGACGAGACTCAATATCCGTTGCATATTTAAATTTAATGGATGTCTAGATACCCGATTTATTTGTTTATAATTTCATAAATAATATAAAATTAAAAACGGTAACATTGGCGGCTATCTAGATCTCATCTCTACCCTAATCCTGGTCCAGCTCTAAAAAAAGAAAGAAAAAGAAAAAGCTAAAAACACCCTTCAAAATTTTTGAAATTTCATATTAAATAAGTCCGTATTAGTCAATTTTAGTATCAGCCACAACAATCATTATTTTTTTTTTAAATAATAATAATAATAATAATAATAATAAGTGGTTTAAAAGTCAACGTAAATCATCATATCAACGAAACTTATTCTACCATCCCAGGAAAATACTGAACCTAACATTTCATGCAGATATTTACAAACGGGAATGATATTTCACTATATTCACAGTAATGCGATATGAATAGAGTTTGCATATCAGCTGATGGAGTCCAGAGCGAGGATTATATGTTGATCACCTAATTTACAATTTATCCATCAAACTGTTAAAATAACTTCATCAACTCGCTATCACTAGAATAAAAATCTTAATCTGAAGTAGCATGGACCCTTGAATATTTTTCATAACTATTCAGTGAATCTTCACGAGTCTTGGTCATCCACGAATAATATTGTGCAGATATTTAAAACGGATGCTTGTGGGAGTATCCACAGATATTTTGACCACATTACTCTGCATTGAATGTTTACGACCTAGATTATCCGCGAATTTTAGTATGAAAATTTCAATCTTTTAATTGAATATTCATTTTAACCGTGACTATTCACGGATCCAACCTTTCTATATTAATTGCTCGATAATAGTAACCACTCAAAGATTAATTCAACTTAGCGTTGCATCCTGAATAACACATTTGAAATTGTGGATTCACACGTCGAGAGTAAATTGATTTCTATGCACAGCTCTTAAATGCATAATTTTGTATCAAGAACTTATTAGTAAAATCAATTCGATTCTCATCAGAACCTTTAATTTCTACAGTCGTTTAAAGATCGATAACGTACCATTGATTTTACCTAAAAACATTTAAATGAATTAAAACAAATAAAGTCCATCAGTGCTGGTGCGGAAAAATGACATAGATTTTAACTTGATTTTTAACCTTTTAAAAAAACCCGTCCATCACAAGAAAACGTATATATATTAAGTTGTTTCGATGGATCTGTTTCAATAAAAGTTATTTATACTAGAATTATTTGTTTGAAAAACTACCTTAATACCTTTTTTCAAAATTATCGTTAGATAAATAACCATACCTCATTTCAACCTGATTTTCGATCAGTAATTTTTATAAAATCGAAAAAAAATGGTTAATTTTCTTCATGCTTTAAGCCGTTTGTGCTTGATCCTGAATTGCTCAAAAATTAATATCATCTTTGCTATCCGTAATTTAGAGTTTTCTTGATAATTCTCTATAATTTGTCGTAACATGTTCATAGACTTTGTTTTTGATACACTAAGAATCATACAAAACATAATGCTTGTGCTTGTGACAACATTAAACCAGAAAACAACCGTTTTACCGCTTATTCTATAGACTATGGGTGAAGTTCAAAAAGAACAAATTCCATTTTCTTTTTTAAGGACTAAATTTTATTAATCAAAAATCCGATACACCTATCATGAGTTACATTATTTAATAAAAACATCATGTTTTGACAGCTAGCTATCATCACTTAATAATTACCTAGTGCGTAGCTGGAATAATTCGACAAAAAAGGACAATAGAAGTCCGCTTGAGACCGCCTACACAGTCTCAATAACTCTTAATCCCAAACTTTCTTCTATGTTTCAATATTTAGTTGTCATATTACTACTGAAGGATTTTAGAATTCATTTCGGTTATATTCAAACTTCTTGGCTTCGGGCATTAAATAACAAATTTCCGTATTTATAGCAAAAATCGAGTTGTTGCACAATTAATTACGATACCAAATACGATTGGTTATCTACCGTTATAAAATTTAGTTGATGGTACAAATGAATATTTTAATTTCGGTGTCGAAAATAATGTAAGACATAATTTACACTAATTATCGTCAAGCATGAGTACTTTATTAAATTTATAAAATAAGAATTCAGTTTTACCAAAAACTTTTAAGTATTACATAGATGATTTATAAGTAACTTTTATTGTTTGCTTTAAATGTTTTTCGCTACATTCTTTACTTATCCACATATTTATCCATTTGTCTGAGAATTTCTAGCCTTTTTTTTTCATGAATAATTTAAGAATAAAGGTGATGAGTTATCTAGTACTAGATTATGTCATATCGTATACGTACGTACGTACGTACCGTTAATCTGAATTGATTTTTTCCTTTTAAAATATTTTGTGCATTATACATAACGATAATTGTTATAGTTTACTATAAAATAGACAATAAAAATTTGTGGGAAGTTGATTCATCATGAGGTAATTATATAATATAATAGGAAATACCCTGTTTTAACGGAAAATAATCTCATTCAAACCCTAACAATAAAAAAAAAAATCATGCTTATCCCTCAATAATTATTATTCAATTTTTAAAGATTGAAGTTAAAATTTATAGATAATACGTTAATTTTTAAATACTCTGAAAGTATTAATTTATTAAACATTGGTCAAATCCTAAAAAAATAATCACGATTATTTTGTTTTATTTTTTGAAAATTTCTTAATTTACACTAAAAACGGGTATAATTCGTAAAGCTATATAATGCAAAACTTAAAAAGCAAAAAATTAGGTTAGGATTTAAGGTTTGGGTAAAACTAAAATTTACAAAAAACCTTTTTTTGTTAAACCCCAAAAATAGTTTTATAAGTAAAATTTTAAGTAATATAAATGCCTGTGTTTCATACACTAGAGTACAAAAAGAAATTGTCTTTGTTAAAAAAAAAAAAAAAAAAAAAAAATCTCTGGCGTATAGCTATTAGGTTCGAATAAGTAATAATTAAAGTTCTGTGACCTATTAACAAACGAACATTACATTTAATTTACAATGAATCCAGAGATAGTAATAGAAGTGTGCCGTGCACAATAATACGTATCAAAAATTCTTTCCCGAAGACGTCGTACACTGCATGCGAGAAAATATTACAATCAACTTGATAAATGAATTATTGTCTATCAGATTGTAAATATACGAAAAAAGTAAAAAATTTTTTATTATAACCTTATCACATAGTATAGTAACTTTTTTATAAAATCAAATTCCAATTATATATAAATTATATACCAAAAATTGATGTGTCACATAGTACTGTTAACTACCACTCTACATAACATATTCGCTGCCATAATTTTTAATAATTTTTTATAATAATTTACTGTAACAAAATTCCAGAACGGCTCCCTAAGTCATCAGGTGGTGCCAGACGAACTGGGACTGTTACAGAATGTCATCGAGCAATTATATTAATTTGGTTGTTAAGCAGGGGGTCATGCATCTGTAACTTTTTATTTCGTGTCACATATGTACGTCACTGATAGACATTGCTGACAATATACAGATATATACGTAAGCACTTACGAATGACTATTCGCCAAATTTTGAAAATTTGATTTTCAAAACTTTTCTCCGCTGGGAATGTAATATATTTGATAAAATAGTATTTTATTAAAAAATTATATTGTTTTGTATTGAACAATAAACAAAAAATAAAATAAAATAAAATAAGATTAAATAAAAATAAACTGCATTTCTATAGGCAAAACATCAAATAACGTATAACTAAAACATTCTTCATATATACTCATAAAGAGAAATATGGAGAAGCCATTTCTTGTAAATATTAAATTTATTTAAATTAATTTGATATTTATGAATGGAAAATTTTTAAGTAATCTTAATCTTTTATTCTTTTAGGATGATCAATTATTCAATCTAATGCTGGGAGAATTTCCTGTCAAGTAATTTAAGTTTTTTTTGTCTTTCGTCGCTTTTATTTTTAAATTAAATAGATTAACATTTTATTATTTGAGATTTTTCATCATTTACTTTTTTTTCTTTTTCTAGTTTTGCTGATGATAGTAGCGGGTTTGTAATAGAACCACCGCATAGTCCTTTTAACAATTATACTACGCAAGAGTTCAGCGCAATTCGAAGTAACGCCCTTAAAATAAATAATGAAACTCAATTATCAACGTTATTACGATTTCATGTTGAACAACATAAACTAAAACGAGTAGAATTTCATGAAGCTATTAAGAATGAATACGAAAGGGAAATCAAATCAAAACATGATGAATTGAATTTATTGAGCTTGTGTGGCTTTGATACTAAAGACAAAAACATTAGTAGACTATTCTTTGGAGATGATGATGATGAATTAATTAAGAAAGAAGGTAAAATGGTTAAAGATGGAAATGTTTCGGAAATTTTAGAACATAATAAAAAATCCTATGAGGAATATTGTTCAAAATATGAGGAATTTTATGTAAGTTGATGTTTTTGGTACTGATTAATTTTTTGTTTTATTTTATTAATTGTACATATTTATTTATTTGTCTATTTCATCTGCTTCGTAAAAAGAACCAATTTCAAATAGATCATCAATTAATAAAAGTATCTCAGCACAGGCAATATGAAAGATTAAAGAAAGTACATTCTTTTATTTTGGGTAAGGTAGAAACTACCCAATCAAGCAGTCCAGTAACTTCAATGAGTGAAAATCCTCTTTGTATGAGAACTATTAATGAGAAAGGTAATCTACAGAATTCAACCGATGAACAAACACAAAAAATCACTGATGATCAAAATAATGATGCTACTATTTCAAGTACTTTGATTAAAAACGATGATTCCATTCAATCTGACATACTACCAAAACCATTCGTAGCATTCAAAGTTAATCAAAAGAAATTCACCGCAAACAAGGATATTTTGGAATGTATTTCTGGTAAACAAACTTCTCAATCTTCATCTATATCAAGCTCATTACAGTCAAATCCACCAGAAGTAAAAGATAAGGCTGATCCAATGGATGGTCCGTTACCGAGTCCTGAAAGGAGTAAATCCCCAAATTATGATGATCATAAACACTTATCAAGTTCTTCAAATTCTGCATCTTGGGATAGTCGATCTAAATATTCTTATAGCCACATTCCAAGATCGAAATATATCATGGAGAGAAATTCTGATTATTTAGCTCATAATTTCAGGAGATCAATCAAACCTCGACCATATAGAAAGTTACGACCTTATGATAATAGACATAATAGAATGTTTCCGTCTTTTCGAAGTGAAATAAAAAATTTTAATCCAGCATATTCACAAAACAGGGTTTGGAAAAATGAATACATTCCTCCAAAATTTTCTGAGCGCTATTCTAGAGACAGAGATTTTACTTCTACCGCTGATAGTTCAAGTCAACACACCGATCGATTTTCGTCGTCGTCTTTTATAAATAATTCTCCAATTCATGATTCAACTCTACCTGAGTCTTCACAACAACCTGCTAACAATCCTAATCTTATCCCAATTTCTCAATCCAAAAGTGGTACGGATTCTGAACCAATGGATCTTAGTAATAGTCAACAAAGCACTACTCCCGTTGATACTTCAACTTCTACTGTTTCAAATAATAATTTCGATAAAAAACAATTTCCTCTGGATATGTTTTCATGCATTCCATCGGAAGTGGTGAGTTTATTGGATGACAAGATGTCTTTGAATGATGACAATGGAGATAATAGCTTAAATACAATTCAAAGGGATTCTATGGAAAACAAATTTACAAAACATATGCATTATGATGATAATCAATATAATCATGGATATAAACAAAGGAATGATAATATAAGTTTTTATAATTATCGAAAATATAAATATGATACAAAGCCGATAGATGATTATCGTCTGCATAAGCCTGGAAATTTTATTCATGCTCGGCGTTATGGTTATTTTCCCAGAGATAAATATAAGAATATGGGAAGTCGATTTTATGATGAGCATAATAGAAGATTTGATAACAAAGATCATCCAATACATCACTATGAGAATTATCAAAGAGATGTTGATTATCAAAGAGGTCCAAGGTATCATCAAAGAAGTATGGATTATCTTCGAGATGATAAACCTTTAAGAAATGATAATTATGATATGAATTTTAATAATGGTGAAAAAAGAATTAATATTCAACATGATTATCCTCCTCCTCGAAATGATAGACATGATCCACATCATATGGCTTCTGATATAAAGGGAAACTTCGAGATTAATAGATATCATTCACAGACTCATAGAGTTTATAATCAAAATAACAAGTATTTTCATAATCCAAAACCTTATTATAACTATAGAGGTTATCAAAATCCTAGAATGAAATATAAGCCTTACAATGATCACAGTTCATTCAAACGTAGAGATGATTATGGTAGTTGCAGAGGTTCAGTTATAACTCCATAGTGGCATCATCGTTATGCTACGACTTTTTGTCGCAATGATGCAGGTGGTAACTAATGACAAGGTTGTAACTTATATCGTAAATAGCTTATTTTATGTTATAAGATACATAGTTTATTAAATAAAATGTGATTTTCGTTACGATCTTGTCATGATTTTCGTCATGATACATAGTTTATTAAATAAGATTTCGTTACTATATTTCATAATAATTTTGGAAGTATTTTATTTTTTTAAAAAAAAGAATAAATAAATTGATCTTTGAAAAAAAAATGGAATGATCTTGAAAAAAAAAAAATAAATTGATCTTGAAAGGACAATCTCGAAAAAAAAAAACGATCTTTAAAAAAAAAATAATCATAAAACGAGTCATGAATAGAAACACGAAGGTTTAATAATTTCTATCGATTTTGATATTGTAAATAAAAGTGAAATTGACTGGTCGGACCAAAGTTATATACAAAAAAAAAGTCATGTGAAGCGAAATACTATTATCATAATAAATCTTACTGGGCATATTAAAAATCATAATTAATGAAAGCTCATTTGGAAAATCATTGTAACATTAATAGTCATACAAAAGATATATTAGTAAATATTGACAGATGAATTCTTGAAATACTTGTGAGTCTTGGAGTCCTTTCTACTTGGGATCAATAAGAGGTTATTCTTTTCTTAAAGCTTGGATCGTAGCTGGAATTCGTTTGAAATAATATAAAATCCTTTTATGATTTTATGATTTTATAAGATTTAAATCAAAAAAATATGCTATACTACAAAAAAACATACGGTTAACAAATACGATTAACAAGGGGCTTAAATTCTCGTACTGGACGATTGGATGGACTATAACTATAACTGAATAAAGGAATATATTAACACTTTAAGGATTATCTATCTGAAATACATGCAGAAGGATTTGCGTTAAAATAATATTTTACCAACATTCAATGATTCCATAACGATACTTTCTTGTAACCATTTTTTTACAAGATATTTTTTATATCACAACAGTTCATGAATACAAAATATATGTAACGCCTGTTATATATTATTGTTGATAAAATTTCTGATTTGACTGAAGACATTGGAAGCGAGAAATTTGATGATATAATCATTGATGCAGCATCAAATTGCAAATATGCACATGAAAGCATTCAAGAAGTTAATCATGGCTGATCTGACAAAATTAGAAACTTTTATTAATAAACCTCATTGAATTGATGGATTTTTAAAGAATAGCATAGAAATGGATTAAATTCACGGCAAGATTCACAGGTCGAAGACATGAATATCGGGTACCCGATATTTACCGATTGCTAACTATTGGCGCCAAACATCTGATTTA